TGGCGTCACGTCGTGCCCTGGTGGGGGAAGCGCTGAGCTCTTCCCCCTGTTGACGATGATTCCCACTGCTTCTAGTTCGTCGACGAGGTCCGGGATCACCTGAATACTTTCCGCTGTGATATTTTTGAAGTGCAGGCTGATGTCGTCCATATAAGCTTTCAAGCTTACCCCGAGGTGGTCGTACTTGGCTCTAAGCTTCAAGACGATCGGGACTAGGATGAAGCAGAACAGGGGCGGTCCCATTCCATCTCCTTGCTGCACACCGCTCTTGCACTCGATCGTCCGACGCTCTCCGGAGTCCATCGCGTATATCGCCTTTGCCGGGAGTTCGTAACACCTGGCGATGCACCCCACGAGATCTGGGACGCTCTTTGCGGCCTGGGCCATTATCGCGGTGCGCTTGCCCGTGTTAAGGCCATTTGAGCAATCCGTCTGGACTACCCAATGACCTGTCTGATCAACCAGTTGTGCGTCCATCGCAACTTGTTCAACTCCTCCAGTTACCGCCACTCCGAATTGGTCCGCTTCCCGAAATATTTCTTCCAGTTTCGGTTTCCACTCCCTGACCGTTCCCGCTGCAATCAGCCTTCTCCAAGTCATTCCAATGCACACTGGACGGCACTTTTCACCGAGGGCGATTAGACTGGATTGTTTCCAAAGAGTCCAGAACTCCGGTGGGAACGCGTTGGGATCGTTGATGAGCCTCCTCCAAAGGGACGACATCGCGTTGCTGAACTCTTCCCGACCAATTTTAGTGTTGACGATGGACTTAAGGTGGGAGAAACGTTGCCCGTCATTTCCTGCTCCAGAGTTAGAGCTTCTGCTGTTGATGACTTGAAGGAGTACTTGTGGATCGAACTCGGTTTCTGGCCTCCATCTCGGGGCGCTTCCTTCCTCCTCCTCGGTGCGGCTTGCAGCTATGGCTTCGGCGATGGCCTGCTCCACTTGTACGGGATCCTCATGCGGAAATTGGCTTTCAGGCGTGCCCATGTCTCGTCGTTCCCCGGTGACGGTTGATCGGCTAGGAGCGCTCTTGCTGCGTCCTTCACGCCTCCAGAGTGCCGGCACGCCCTCGCCGCCCTTTTGAACTTGTCGTCGGGTGTGTCTTCCCGTGCCGGTCCCCTGCTCCTTGCACTCGCCGCCTTGGTATACTCAATCAGCCAAGGAAGAACGGACGATATATCCCCTCTTTTGAGCGAGTTGTAGCGTTTTTTTCGAGCTATCCGACCATCAAAGGAGTGCAGAATACCTGGTAGGAGGTACCAAAGTTTGATGACCCGGATAGTGGAAAGTGGAGTCCCGGTCGCCTAGGAAGCGCCGCCGCCTTCTGCTAGCTGCTTGTTAACCAAGCGAAGCACGTGGGTTTGGAGACGGGCATGGTCGGAAGCAAACCTAGGTTGAACTTTCTTCACCGTCTGGAACCTGAGTGAGAGATCATCCATGCTGACATCGTCCAAAGCAGGCCCTATTCCCGGACTGTCTTGGTTCCAGATGTACAGCGGACGTGCTCCGTGGGGTTCGTCGTTTAACCCCCTTATCAGTCTTTCAGCTCGTAGCTGCAGCCCCGGGTCAGCTTGAACCGCCGCCTCCAGGCTGTCCCTCCGAGAGTGTTGGTCCCCGCACCCGTGCACCCTACACTCAAGCAGCGCGCGTTCTCCGCGTCCCTCCAGGCTAGATAGTACGCATCTTGCGTGGACGGGATGCCGGCAAGTGGGTTGTACCACATGGTGTCCCTCGATGACCTGACCCGAGCACACTCCGCATCTGGTACTGGAACGAGGGTGCTCGCTTCTGTTCCCCGTGGCGCCAGGTTCCATGCTTCCTCCAGCGTCCCCGTTCCTGGTCGCTCGGTCATCGGCACCCGGAGTACCCGTTCGTCCCGATTCCCTTCCCCGGTGTGTTCGTGCCGGATGTGATGGCGTTCCTCTTTCTCGCGACTCACCGTCTGGATCCGGTTCACTTCCCTGCCGGCGTCGCCTGTTTCCGCCTTGAGGTGGTTCCGAGGAAGTTCGTTGACGTTCACCCGATGTAGTAGCGNATAGTAGCGTCATCCGACAATCCGCTACCCTCGCGAGCAGATGGTCTGCGCCGCCTTGGCGTTCCTA